CCCCGAATCATACCCCCTTCACAACGCCAGGGTTGACTACCACCACCACCACCACGACTACTACCACTACCACAACTACTACTACTACTACTGCTACTACTACTACTACTACTACTACTACTTCTACTACTACTACTACTACTACTACTACTACTACTACTACTACTACTACTACTACTTCTATTGCTACTCCTACTACTACTACAACCACTACCACGGCCACTACCACTACCACCACCACTCCCCTACCACTACCACTACCACTACCGCGACCACTACCACTACCATTACCACTTCCACTACCACTACCCACTACTACTTCAATAGTATAGTTCAATGTGAGTATGTTTATATACATGTTTTGTCATGCCCGCCCCCTTATGATCCACCTTTTCTGTTTGGATGTCTTCTTAAATATCTCGCATATTTTGAATATACACATTTGTCATGCTAGACTGCCACAGACAGGGATGACACTGAACGCAGACAGGGATGGCACTGAGAAGATGCAAATATTTAATTATATATTGATTGCTGGACAGAAGCAGTTAGTGATGCGATCATCAGCCCCATCAGCACAGGAAGGGCAGCGAAAAGGAGATGGACATCCCAGAGATCTTACGGGACATTGCACGAACCCTGAAGGCGAGCCTGAGGGGGCGAGGAGACTCCAAATTCGTTGAGTGAGGGCTCCTCCAGTGAAGGATTTTCTAAAAAGCCAGGGAGACCCCCCCCTCATGGATACACTTGGGGTGCAACACTACACGCTAGGGGATTTTGCTCATATTCTTCGAGTGGTGTTGGACCATTGGATGTTCCACTTGTGAATTCCTCTGGGGCAGTGCTGAACAGAGTGTTAAACGAACTGCTAGCAAGTCCAACAATTTGAAAAAATGTTGGATTCCATTGTTGGCCTGCACCAGACCCAAGGTGGATGGAACAATCTGCTTGATTTGGCAAATCAAAGGGAATGACTAAACCCACATGGTGATTGTGCCATGTACTTTCAATTAGCACATTTGAAGGGTGGTTTCTTCTCACATAAGCTAGGTGAGATCTGGGTTCCAAGCTAGATATTTTCTAGTGGAGTCCTGTGGGGCTTTGGACTGGGACTGGTAGCAAGCCGCCGTATGGAGCCAGCCCCGACACCAATCCATAGGAATGGGCACCCTCGAGACCCCATGTTTGATGGCTTCAACCTTTGGGTGAAGCGTACTATCGCGCAAACCTTGGAGCCGTTGGAGACATTGCCATTGACTCAGAGAAACTGAAAGAAACTGTTTGACTCCATTGGCCCACCACGCAAGCACCACACCAACCACCACTTACCCCCCACCCAGCACCCCTCCGCCGCCCCACCCACTCAACCCACCCCACCCCACACACGCACACACACACACACACACCCACCCCGCCACCCCCACACCAGGGTTTGCCACATTGCCCAAGATTCGAGGCGGAGGACATGTCCACAGCAAAGGACATCTCTAAACCGACAGCGAAGGCAGGGCATCGATCATCGCATACTTAAAGGGGCAATCGATGAAGGGTACGTCAGTTAAGTGGTGATCGTAACCATGGTGAAACAACCCACTGAACGGAAACTTATTTCACCATGGCTTTTGTGAATTATAACCACGGTTACTAACCACTTACAAAGTACCCGATCGCCCCTTTCAGTAGCAGCCAGCCGACGTCCGATTGACGCCAACTTGTGGGTGGTTCTACTACATGGACCCTCAAACTACCCATAACAAAGGGAACTCGCCCCACAATGTTGGGGGCAAATAGCCCATCTTTAAGGGAATTTTGAGGGTCCAGGTACATGGTTTCATGAGAGTGTTGTGGGGGTTGGTCGAGATACATCGTTACAACCAAGAACGCAGTGTCCATGGACTACTACATGCTGCTTAGTTGTTCAGTGGCAGCCTTCGAATAATTAATTTGTGGTCACCCCCCCCCCCCAAAGAAAAAAAGAAAGGGGAAAGTACAAACCAAATCAATTAGTGAAACGAAACGACCGTCTTTGTTTCTACGATGGTCATTCGGCAACTGGAGAAGACAACTGGCTGTTGTAGCTCAATTGGAACATGTCGTAGATCCATGGAACCAGGATACACATTGCTGTTTACCAGCGAAATAAGATGTGCGCAATGTGAGTACTCCAGGAAAGTGAGCCCAAGTGAGTACTCCTGCACCGTGGCAAAGGGGAATAAAAGTCTAAAGTCACTCCGTTGAGATGCCGTTGATCTGCAAGGTGTTCGATCCGGGGTCAAGGCAAGCAAAGAAGTGGATTTCCTGCAAGCGCAGACCTGTTTTTTTCTCGGTGTTCTCCATATCAACCGGCATCTCCTGCTCGGTTTCTTTCAAAGTGACCTTTTTTTGGTGCAAACAGGTTGCAACTGAGTACGCCCAGTTTCGGTGGTTGAGCACGGAAGTTCAACGGCGCAGCTGTTTTACCCATCTTGCACTTGTTAGGCTAGGTCCCTCAGTAGTGCCCGTTTTGCCAATTTTTTGAGGGAGGGTTCCCCCACTAAAATAGACTGCAGAAAAAAAAGGTTGGTACGTTTTTTCTAACCTCTCAAATCTGGAAGGAGTGATACTGGCACACTCGTTTTTCGGGTCGAGCACATGAGCACCGGGGCCAACGGCTGAAGGGGCCAATAGCTGTCCAGCCGAGGTGCTTTACAAGGCCAAGACCAAGCCGGCGCGGGACTGCGTGGAGATCTCTCTCCGGAGCGAGGAGAGAACGATCAAATCTTTGGGGGCCAGGGGGGACGGATATGGCTGTGGGTCAAAACCAATGGTACCAATGGACCGATTCCTTTGTTCTGCCTAGACACGTTGCGTTTAGAGCAACCTGGGACCTGAATGAACAACACTCAATGGACCTTTTCCTTGGCCGAAGTCTTTGAAACTTGAAGTGGCACAAAGGCAGGTGGGGAATCGATCGGTGCTTTGCGGAGTCCAGGAAGTTTGTGTGCCAACAAATGTGCATCGCTATCACGGAAAGCCAACACACATCTTGAAGACCTTGATGGGAGGTGAGTGCGATCAGGCCGGGAATGGTGTCATTCGGTACTTCCATTTGCTTAGGTGCCCTTGTTCCCTTTTTTTGGGGGAGGCTTCCCCTACTAAAATAGACCATATACAGAAAAATAGGGTACCCGGATTCTACTCTCTCAAATCAAAGGACCTCGTGTTTTTGTTGTTGTTGGTTTCAAAGGGAATATAGCTTTACTTGAGGTTTTGTTCCAGCGGGCTTAGGCAGAATGCAGATGAGGTTCGTCATACCACATGGCCGGGGAGATTCTCCATTGGTTTCTGCGCTGACACAGCGATGGCCCAGAAAGTCCCTTGGCTCCTTAAAAGGTACTCACTCTGGGTAAAATATGCACTTGGTTGTCTCTATACATATATATTGTTGTTTGATTGAAGCAATGTTCCAGTATAGTATTGTCCACACATACTATATGATATCATACTATACATTAATTATGGATAGTAGTCTTTATGTGTCTACAATATGTTGCCCGATGTTGCGATAGCAACAACCAAGCAACAACACAGATCTGGAGCTTAAACAATCTAAATTTGGGACCATTAGATATGCATTGAGCTGGGGACCCCGCCTTCAGCCCCTCCGAGTGGGTTTTTTTTTTTATGGTCGCATCCAGACAGCGTAGTCCAATCCATGTTGGCCAAGAGGAGGCGCTTGCGCTACACAAACGCCATGAGTTTAGATGTGCGCTGGCGAGCCTATCCGGTGACGACCGCTAGTGCAAATGCCTGCCTACATTTCAATGTCAGCAGCTTGGGCATCAGGAATCAGATGTGAAGGGTGCTCCGAGCGAATTTAACTTGTTGTCTAACATGGGCCCCTGTTCATTTGCAGTGCATGCATTTGCTTTGCGTGCGAGTCACTGAATAGTTCAGAAGCTTTCTTCAGCTTTCCCTCCCACACAATGATTTCCAGATGTTGCTGCATTCGTTTCCCAGTGGGTTCCCTCCTTCTGATTGCATGTTTTGTTCAGGGCGTCCCAACCCCCGCTGATGCTCGGTAAGTGGGCTGAAACCTTGATGTGTTGGAGAGGAGAGCTGTCTACATTGGAGTCTCGTCCAAGTGTGTCTTCCTTAGGATAAGGCTCAACCAGCAGCATAGTCTGTGGTTTTATTTTGGTGTACCCTGCGGTTGGGTTAAATCTCATCTAGAAATCTATTCCATCTAACTTCATTCATTCATCACTCTAAGATAAACAGATTGTAAATATGAATCAGATGGAACATATTATGAATGAAATGGAAAGGGATAGACAGATGCAATTATAAATCCAAAAAGCATTACATTAATTCTAATTTATTATCTTCTTCTTAGTCTTTCATTATCTTCTTCGAATTAATATTTCCATCTCTTTTCATTTACCTATCATTCATGTTTCTTAGCTAATATCCTTTCCTTATCTTTCATCTCTCCAATTAATATCTAAGAGAGAACCTGAGAACTCTCGACTACCCACTTCCAGGCCCCATGTACCAACCCCCCCCTTACATGATATACCCAATGTCGGAAAAGTTGTTTGGGAACTTGTGGACCCGAGAGATCGCGCTTTTCCAGGAGCAAGTTCCCTACATTCCGCTTCTGGAGATGAAGGACTGGGCAGCAGTTCAGAAGCCGCGTCCAAAATGGTGGCAGGCTCGTTTGGATCCGGGTTCAGGCCGGGTCATGATACGGTGTAAGCCCTTAACCAGGCTGCTAACCTCCTTTTTGAGGTGTGTATGTGTGTATATGCGCCTCAAGAAATCTGAATCACCAAGTAAACGTGGCTGGAATCCATGAAAGCACCAGAACGAAGAGGCTTCCATGTGGCGCTTGCGTGTGACACTGATACTGGCCGGGACGCTCACCAATGCACCGCAAGTTGTACTGAAGCCGTTAGTTCTCGAACTGACCAACTGTGGTGCTTCGTTCTTTGCTTCCACACCGCTCAGGCCCCGGTTGCACGTCGTTTTTCCCTTTTCGGTTTGTGCTTGTACTTATCGGCTTACTGCTTTCCATCTTGGCTGCGTGCTTTGTGTTGCGGAAACCCTCAAGCTGAAGATCGGAGGCAAAGTGTTTTTTGCTATCAGTGGTTGGTTGGTTGGTTGGTTGGTTGGTTGGTTGGTTGGTTGGTTGGTTGGTTGGTTGGTTGGTTGGTTGGTTGGTTGGTTGGTTGGTTGGTTGGTTGGTTGGTTGGTATTGGTTGATTGGTTGATTGGTTGATTGGTTGATTGGTTGATTGGTTGATTGGTTGATTGGTTGATTGGTTGATTGGTTGATTGGTTGATTGGTTGATTGGTTGGTTGGTTGGTTGGCGTGCCAACATCCCTTGCATCCCCGGGCTCAGTCTCCCCCCTGATCTGTTTTCAAGCATGCAGGCTTGCACCTGGTTTTGGTGCGTTGCATCAAACCATCAAACTAGCAAAATCCCCACCCCTCAACAACAGTAAGTCCTGCTGAAACCGACCTAGAGAACCTGACACAAGCCAGCCCAAATCACCCCGAAGTTCCCAAGTTCAACAATCAAGCAAGCCACACAAAAGCTAATGCCAAGGGATAAGCGATGGTCTTGCCCCAGCCACCAAACGAAGCAAACACCAAAGCCCTATAAAACTGGGGAACGCCCATCCCATTGTTGGCCGCATTAATTTAAGGGCTTGGAACCAGCCCGGCAAGGCTCATGCCTGTCTTGCGGTGGAAACAGATCAGGGGGAGAGGGATGTGGGCACCGTGACTCTAGGGATGTTATCCAGGATCATCGTGCAACTTCTTGTAGTCAGCCACTCCTAACAAAAAGCCGCTCCTCGCAACAAAAACATGTCCCGACCCACAAAGCATCCCTCGCAGTGCGGCCAGACAAAGATGGTTTGGGAGACATACCAGACCTTGTGCTGCTTGAAAGACTTTCAATTGAGGTTGAATTGAAATGCTGCACGGGCGACTCAGTTCCAGAGTTCCTGGACTTTTTTAGGCTTGGACCATTTTAGTGGTAAATCAAAAGCTTAGAATCTTTTTTTCTGGCCCATCCACGGAAGCGAGTCTAAAGCCGCCCCATATCGGGTACCATCAAAAACTCGCCGCTGAATTCTCAAAGCCGGGCTTCGGGCTCGATCCCTCGACTTGATCTCAGGAGGAACGGATCCAGCCAGCGCCTTAGACCATGCTCCGCCTGGACACAAGTCTTAAAGGAGCGAACGATTCGGCACGTCAGGTAAGTGGTTGGACCATGACTACCCACTTTTTTCTGCCTATAAGTCTGCTAAGTCCCAGGCAGTCCATGTGGGTAATACATACCAACATTTGATCCATGTGAGAGTAGATGTGGGTATTTATGACTTAGATGCATTGTCTGGGAGTGGGTTACAACCATGGTTGCTAACCATTTACTAAGTGCCTTTAAGTACTCAGTTGCCCAAAGCGAATCAACATTTTGACCTTTTCACCCTGTGGTTTTCCTAGTTTCTGTTCCTTTCAGGTATTTTTTGTGCAACAAACGATTCAGTTTTTCTGGCCAGTCCATACTAAGGGTTGTGAAGGTTGCCACATTTTGTTACGGATCATGTTGGCAAAATGTTCCATTCTGTCAACAAAAGGGGGTCCAGGTGGTAGCTCTAGCCAATCCGTTCCCTCGAAAGAGGTTGCCTTCAGAGATGACGGAACGCTGGATTGGTTTCCCCTTGGCTCCCTGATTCTACGGGGTATGAATAAATCTGCACCCCAACGCGCCCCAGGGGAAAGCCTGAAGGCAACTGAAGAAGCTTGACTTCTTAGATGATTTGGGAGGAGCTAAATGGCCAGTAACCCTGGTTGTAACCCATTTGCAGTGGTTGTAAGTCCCTTAGGCTTACCAGCCATTTAGCGATTCCTCCAAGGCCATCGAAGTAGCATCTACTTCCGGGCTGAGTTCTTCTCGGATTTAACTGCGGTCTATTGCTAGTTTCAGGAGGACACTTGGGCCCGCCAGGTTTTGTCCAGCGGAATCACAGAGGGAAAGGAGTTGTGTCTGGAACCCACATGGCTGTGGGTCAAAATAGGTACCCTAAATGGCAGTGTGTTTTGTTTGAGGGGTCTGTAACAGAGTGGTAGCGGACATTCGTCACAGACCTTGTTACAGACCTCTGTAACAAGACCAGCTGGCTCGTTACAGACCCCTCGATACACACCCCTCGTTACACACCCTCGTTACACACCTTCGTTACACACCTCAGATGAACAATCCCAGTGACGTGACTGCCCTCTTTTTGCCGCAGCTTGGCTTGCGTTGAATTGCTGCAATCAAGCTGGAGCTGCGGAGGTGCTTTGCGTACTGCGCTTCGCTTTGCCTCGTTACAAACCTCGTTACATAGCCATTACATACCTCGTTGTGCTGCGCTACTTTGTTCTACTGGTACTGCTTGTCAGGAAATGTTTTTCCCGTTACAGACCTGCGTAACAAGGACCTCCGTTACAGACCTCCGTAACAAGATTCGTGGCGCGTTGCTCGTTATGCGGCAGTTTTTCGCGCTGCATGTGTTGATTACAATGGAGAAGACAGCCGCAGTTGATTGTCACCCCGCAACGTGACGATGGTTCCATGTGGGGGCGCAGGTTCACCGCTAAGAGGAGTCGGCCCTAGGTTTGCGGCTTTGCGCGAGTTCCCCACCCACTGATCAGTTGTTTGAGTTCGAATGAGTTTTTAGCTCATGGGCTTTCCAATGCAGTAACCTCAATTCCATCATTGCAGGTTGACGAGGCCGACCAACCCCCAAATTGGGATGTTTTTGCTTTGTGTTGTCGCTTGTTGGGGCCCCGTGAAGCACAGAGCGGTTCAATGTTTCTCCTTGATTCTTCGGCTTTCCAACTGGCAATCCTACCTGGGATGCAGAATTCAGTGTGGCGGGATTTGTGTTTTTTGTTTGATTCGCCAAAAAGCTTACAACCCACTATCGACAGGTTGTTAACTCCACTTACGGGAACTATGGGTGTAGCCCAGGCTACCAACAACTAACGAAGTAACTAAGCCAACCACCCAAGCCGATCTTGCAAGAGTCAGTGGCGCATTCTTATCGTCTATACTGGCTGCCACTGCTTGAGTTGCGCTATTCTCTCGCAATTCGGGGACACTACCGTGAATGCCGGGTAGCCACGGCGGGAGACATGTTTGGATGCCCAGCGCAGAGATGTTTAAGGACGCTGAAGCTCGTCTGCTGGGGCGGCGCCCGCGTGAAAGCGCAGGCAGCTAGCGCTAGAGCAAGCTTGCGCAATCGCGCTGGAACCATCCAGGCCACAGGTCGCGGGCCCGGAGGGGGGGGTTCGCAAAGACTTTGAGCTTATAAGTTGGCTTTGTGCTGCTGGGTCTCCCAGCTTAGGCCAACGCTCAGGGGTCAAGTTTAACGTTCACGCGTGGGCGCGCTTGCCAGACACCCCTGCTACTTGCGCGGCTTCTTTCTCGGCAAGCCACAATTAAGTTGGCAGCGCCCACTTGCCTGTAACAGCCCACTGAAGTTGAAGAATCCAAAGGTTCAGCAGCAGGGGCTGTGTGCCTGGCCGTCGTTGCAGGTCTGGCATCATCCCCACCATCTGGGCCCTGCTCCTAGAAAGTTCAGGTGTTTGCCGTGGGTTTGCAGGGCGAAAGGTCGGCCAAAGGCGCAGAGAGGAAATCTGTTACGACGATGGAACTGAGTCCCCACTCTTGATACGCAGCTGATTCTTTATGTTTATGCCCCCGTTGGCCTCGTCAATGACGCCTTCACACGCACGCGTCACTGGCGACAGCGTTCTTTGGCTGACTGGCCCAGTGGCATGTTGAATAATGGCATAGATCGTTGTTAGGTGTACCCGGCTGCAGCATGGTGATGCACAACCCTATTTTGCAATTCCAGACGTAGGCGTGGGATATCTCAATGGTGCTTATGTTGACCTTTGTGGCCACTCGAGGGCGCGTCCCGTCCAAGAGTCTTTTCTGCAATTGTAGCAACAAGGCCTCTACAGCAATGTGGTTGCTAGAGACGCCGTAGTCGTGGAACGAGCAACAATCCGCTTCTGGATAGTGTGCGGCGAGAGCGCTTTCAACACTCATCGAGACTTCCAATGATGTTTTTGTTTCCTTTTTGGAGGGGTTGCCTTTTCACAATCAACTACCAGCGAAAGCAGGCAGGCGGGCAAATCCTTTTTTCTGATCGAGCCACCGGACTTACTAAATTGTCCATGTCCTTTTGTGAAACAACTACTTGTGGGCCTGGCTAGAATAGTCCAAGACACGCTACGGGACTTTGCACGTGAAAAAACATATGGGTGGGACACGGCCAGTTTGGCCCCTGACACATCTGTGGTGCGAAAAGTTGGTTGCTCCCTCAGGCGCTAGCGCCTTGTTAGACGTATTCCGTCTCACTTCCTGTCCTGAGTTCCACTTCAAACTTTTTGGGTTTGGACCAGTTTGGTAAATGAGACAAGGTTGGTTCTTCTTGGTTTCTGTGCCCACCCGGATCGTCTTTCTTTGTAGCTCTGCCGTGCTGCCAAATACAAGAAGCGCCGTCCTGGAGTGTCCACGACCCAACAAAAAACATGGGGGGCATTACTTAGGATAATGGGGTCATGGACCCATTTTTGCTTCGGGTCATGGAGAGTCGAAGGCTTGGGGCGGTTGGGCGATTTGGAGCCGACGAGTCGCATGGAGAGTCGAAGGGTTGGGTGGGGCCCATCGAATCGAGGCGGTGCCGCACTGGCCGCTCTGGTTCCCTTTCTGCGAGTCCAATACCGAAGTCAAGCGCTTTTCCCCGAGCTGCGCCTGGGACGGAAATTCGACCAAACGGAGATGGATGTGGCTCGTCGTTGTTTTTCTTTCCGGGAAGGGAACTTCTTGTTTGGGTTGGACAACGGAAAAAAGTGAGGGGTTTCCACGCAAGAGTTCCCTTTACCACCAAACGAGGTTTATTTTGGGTTGGAACCCCAAAATTAAAAAAGAAAAAGACAGACCCATATCCCTGTTGGCTGGGTCACGCAATCCGCAAGATGCGTGTTTAGGATTGAGGATTTGGCTCCCTTAGTCGATTTTTGCAGTACTGGTGGATTGGGTTTGGCCAACCCTCAATTTTGGCTATGTTTGTGTTGTGTGTTTGTGCATATCTGCACGTGTTTGCTTGTGTCTCTGTGTGAGTGTTGTGTTTGTTTCTTTGCATCATTCCCAATGGTGCCTCCCCCGTGAAGACACCCATATCAAGTTGTTTGGTTTCTTGTTGTTTGTTGGTTCTGATCGTTTCCCGAAGGGGGCTGCAAAAGGCCTCAAGTTTGTTGCAAGCTCACATGAAGGGTTGCGAAGATATGAAACCTGGCTGCTTGACAAGTGCGTTGCTTCACCAGATGTCTCCGTGATGAATACAGCCGGCTCAGGTCGACACAGTGTTTTTCGCACATTCACTTGCTTGTTGGTATGCGTGGGCTTTGGGGATTGATGGGAGTTCTGGTGAGCTTTGAAGCCACCCCTGCTTGAACTTGCCAGGACAGTGTTTGTAACCCACGCAAATCAACCCTAAACCCACATTAAACCAGCACTCTACGGACTAAGCAAACCCTTTCCCAACCCTAGACCCACCCTAGACCCACGCTAAAGCAGCACTGAACTATCCCTAAATCACCCTAAAGCAACCGAACCCATCCCCTGCCACGAAACCCAGCTCAAGCCACCACTGAAACCACCCTAAACCCGCACGAAAGAAACCCTACAGACCACCCTCCAGCACAAAACTACATGTGACAGGTTCCTGAACCAACCCTATACCAACCATAAACCCACCCTAAACCCACCCAAAATCCAACTTTACATCACCCTATGTCAGCCCTAAACAGAAACTATACCAACCCTAAACCTGCCCTTCACCAACCCTCAACGAACCCTAAACCTAAACCAGCCTAAACCTTTGAACCTGCCCTAAACCCACCCTAAACCAAACCCACCGTAAAGCAGTACTAAACAATCCCTCAACCACAAAATGAAACCCCAGACAACCCCCAAGCAAACCCTAGGCTAACCTTAGACCCACCCGCAACCAACCCCAAATCCACCCTAAGCCACCACCATCCCTAAACCAACTCTGAATCCACTCTAAACCACCACTCAACCACCAATAAACCATCCCTAAACCAACTCTAATCCCCCCCCAAACCAGCCCTAAACTAACCTAAACCTAAACCCGCCTAAACCTTTGAACCACCCCTAAAGCAACCCTAAACCAACCCGAACCATCCCTTAACCAACCCTCAACCCACCCGAAACTCGCCGCGCGGCCCCACTCATTCCCGGCCTTCGGGTGGCCCAGGCTGGATCATGCACGTCAAGCTCAAGGCCCGATGTCGTCTCCTCTCTGGTGGGCACAAATTTACTCAGTTGCCTTTAGGCATTTCTACTGCTCGGGGGGTGGGGGGGGTGAGGGGGGAGGGGGGACCTTTTAACTTGGTGGTTCCCCACCCCCTTAGCTTTTAAGCCTTTTGGTGTAGTTTCTATTTAACCCACTAAAAGTTAAACTTTGGTGCTTGGACTTGCCTAGAGTCTCCGTGACCCGAATCAAAAATAGGTCCACGGCCCCATGATTTAAGGTAATGACGAACCAATTGTTTAAGGGTCTTGGAGACTCTAGGTATACTCAGTTGCCCAACGCCGAACCTATATATTCTAGGGGTACCCTCCGTTTCCATTCTTTCCAGGCATCCTTCTTTCCTGAGAAACCAGCCAACACCCTGGGGAAACAGCTGACTTTTGAACAGAACGATAGATTGAAACGAATGGGGAATCAACCCCTAGAAAAATACTCGTTGCCCCAAGCCGGACTTGTTTAACCTTGTGCTTTCCAAGTTTGGTCTACTTTTAGTACAGCTGTTAAAGGGTACACCCTTGGTTTCTGGGTCCTTTGGGCAACTGTTTTGTTATTTGTTTTGGACCCCAACATGCGAACATGGAGGGTTTCCTCCCACAAAAAACACATATTAAATCTGGGGTCTACTTAAAGGGGCAGGGTACTTAGTAAGTGGTTGGGAACCATGATTACAACCCACTTACCATGGTTATAAGTCTCCTAAGTTGGTTATAACCATGATTTCTAATCACTTACTAAGTACCCTGCCCCTTTAAGTACTCCGATATTCACATATGTTGACAATCGAAGCAGATGTCCATCGAAGCAGCTGGATGTGGTGAGAGCAATTTGTTTGGGCTGCTCAAAGAGAATCCTTACCCGCAAGGATTCCCCTCGGTAGTGGCTTGTCTTGGATTATTCTAGGTTTATTCCCCATTCTTTTCAGCCATTGTTCTTTTCAAAAACCGATCGCCATTTCTGCAGGGTGTTTGGTGGTTGTCTAGAAAGATTCGGATTTTTGGGTTAAGACTGGAAATGGAAGCTACCCCCCTCGAGCTTTTGGTTGATCCTCTTTTCACCCTCAAACAAATGGAGGGAAGCCACACCATTTGGGGCCTCTGAGTCTTTGGGAAATGGAAGCTGGGTCTGGAATTGAATCAGCTGCTTCGGGAACAGCGTGTGGTCTTCAGGGTGTTAGATGAGCACCAAGTTGCAATGAAGGCCCCGAGAATTTATGGAAAAAGTCGGCTTGGCCCACCCAAATGGAGCTGGCCAGCTATCGGCGATCGGCTTCGGGAGCCGATTCGGGTGGCGCTGGTGTGGACCTCTGGTCGGCTTGAGGGGAGTTTGTGGGAAGATTCGGCAAGAAACGGCCTTGGCAAACCACACTTGGTTTCTTAAAAAGCGAGCAACTATATCTTTGAACGCGGTGGCTGCCTGCGCTCAATGGGGTGTTTTTTCTCGCCCAAATTGGAACGATGCCTTCTTCAGGGCTACCGATCGCGCTTACCGCTTACACCGCGACGCGCGAGCAGGTTCTGTTCTTTTGCGTGGACTTCTTGCTCTTTGCGAGTGTCGACGACCTCCTGGAATCCGAGGCGGGAGCGAAAGGCTTAGGTCCGGAACGGAAGGTGAGCGCCTGGCTCGAAGGTTGAGCCACGGGGATCAGGAGAATGCATCCAGGTTCAAGTTCTGTTTCCATTTACCAGGGCAAACCTTTTTGGGATTACCCTATGTTTGACCACCCATGTATGCATTCTGAGACTACGTTTTAATGATACCTTTGTGTATGTGTTTGATCGTGCATGTATTGCTGGTTTTAGTTACTCCGGTTTTGGGACTGTATGTTCAGTTTTGCGACTGTATGTTTTATGTTTGGTGTGATTCTGTGAATTGTGTCGATCTACGAAATGCTGTTTGCTGCAGTTATGCAAGGGGTTCTCACACCTGCAATGCGGTGAAAGCAAGGGTGCCCTTCAATCTGAGAGGGGCCGGTAACTCAAGCAAGATGATGTGTGATAGCATATATGGCTGTGAATTTTACTGGGGACCCTTTGGTGGACTGTTTTGGGGTCCGCCTTTCACGGCAAGCTTTCTGCGGTGGGAGTGAAATTCCAAGATCAAAGCCTTATCCTGTGCATCAAAAGGGTATGGTTTCTACCATCTGGGAATCTGAGAATTGACAATACTGAATTTTAGTCGGGAATCCTATATGAAATACTAGGATGCTGAGATAGTATATTTAGACTTAGCAATACTACATCAAGTACTGGGGGTCGTGGCAATGCGATATTACGCCAAGTACTTATTTCTGACGTGACGACGCCATCAAGGTCTTCATTCCGATTATATAATGGCGTCAAAGGATCCATGGTGCAGAAGGTCCAAGTGCCTCATGAGGAGGGCTTTTGAGGGGTCAAAACCAGTTGGCTTTCTGTTGCAATTATCTTTGCACGCCAAAGCCATTGCTATCCTTTGGTGATTTGGATTTGGGCATTGGAAGATGCCTGGTTCATTTCGGGTATACAGGAGAGACCATCCCGAAGCACTTCGACAACTTCCGGGCGCCAAACCATCATATGACAGGGGTTGTGGGAGTAAGTGGTTTATCCCCACTTCTGTGATACGTTAGGAAATCTCCCCTCATTTCAAGAATCCCCACTTCTGACACTTCAGGGAATTTCCCATTTTTTTTACGGGGGTTATTGGGAAGCCCTTTTGGTTGGTTGTATCTCAGAAGTGGGTGATATAATTCGGGACTCTCCCCCTAGGGCTTAGTTTAGTCTTTGAGAAGCCCTTTTCTTCTATCACAGCTTAGTGGGTTCCCTTTCAACCACAGCCCTGCCTTCAGTTGGCCGAACTGGGAGCCATGCCAGGGGCGAATCACGGTCAGCATGCGGTCGCCGCCCCCCGGCCCCGAGCTCAGGGCCGGGGAGGGTGGCTCGGTGGCTCAGTGGCTCGTCTTTTCTTTGGGGGTTTGGTGGTACCCCCTTTTTGGTTGAAGAAGGGAAGCCAACGGGAAAAACAAATCACACATTTTTTTTCTGTTTGGTGGAACCCCCTTTTTGGTTGAAGAAGGGAAGCCAACCGGAAAAACCGCTTCTTCTTTTTTCCTGTTTGGTGTGCAGGTCCGAAAAGAGAACGGAGACACCCATTTGAAGGAAGTCTACTCAGACAGAGCTTACCCTCAAGGATTGGCAATCGCATCAATCCCCAGAGCCTCCGAGGCCCAAAGAGTCCCCATTTGAAGTTCGCATGCAAATAGCTCTGAGTGCGTCAAGGCCAGTTGTTGTTGTTTTGTGTTTTAATCAGTCTACTTTTGAGTGCTTCAAAAGGGAAACTGAAGGGAAATCGATTTGGGTATGTCTTTTTTTGGGGGACCCATAACATGATTGGGTTCCTTTTGGTTTCCAGTGCAAACCGCCAAACAACTGTGGTACTAACTCCAAAAAAGACACCCATTTGGGGCTTGCCCCAATGAGAGACGTCCGAACCCACTCCCAAGCCTCGTTGAGTGTGGTTATCTTTGTTAGGGGGTTGTGCTGCAATGGAAAAAAATCACTCACTTGGCAAATGGAAGATCCAAGTAGATTCCCTTGGGGTTGTAAACATCACCCATTGGACCAGCGGGATTCTGGTGGGGCAAGGCGTAGCTCACTGGATCCTGGTTCCTGGACTCGATGCGTTTGGGGAATTGGACCGCGGCTTTGAGTCCGTTCCATTTCCCAGGGCCAGCCATTTTTCTAGGGGATGAGTCCTTGTCCATTCTTTTCAACCATCGTTCTTTTCTCAAAAACCGGATCTGTTTCCCCTGATTTTTGCTGGTTTCCTGAAAAGAAGGATTTCTGGAAGAATGGGGAAGGTACCCCTAGAATTTTGGGTACATGTTTTTTTTGAGCCACAGCCATATGGAAAGCACAGAGCTGGAAAAAAGCGCAACGCGGCCATTCCCAGAGTTGGCAACCCAAGGGTCCGGGGGAAAACGCGGCGATCGTCGACTTTCTTCTTTTTTTTGGTTTTCGGTTTGGGCGACTCGTTGGCGCTGAATCAGATGGGTTCGTCTCAAAAGGAGGGACCCCGCAAAATGGGTTTCTTTTTGATTTCCGTTTAGAACCAAGCAACAAGGGGTTCTTGCAAAATGACACCCCCCCATCTAGGAAGAAATGGCCAACTCATAGAGTGTGGTTGCTTGGCGGTTGAGATTATTGTCTAGCGAGCTGCAGGGTTCGCTCCGATTGCGGAAGACGTCTACAAAGCTGCGACCGATAGTACCGAATAGGAAGCCAAAGCCGGTCGACGTGCAATCGATCCGTTTCTTTCGGGCTGTTTGGGGTTCAGAAAAATATATGCGCCACACAGATTTGTCGCGTTTGTTTTTCAGGCCCTGAAGTATGGCATGCCCTTAAAATCCTTCAAGAGGCTTTTTGCTGTGTCAAAATAGGCCAGCCCCCGGAAATGGTGGCTTTTGGCTTGCCTTTAAAGCACGCTTTGGGTTTGCCTTTATCGCAGCCCCACTTGGGCTACCTTGAGGAGAAACATCTCCAAGCTCTGCGAGTATGAGTCGAGCTTGGCCACCAGTCTGTTAGGAGATTCCTACTGTGGATGGTTGCGAAATCCATTTCGCATCACGAAATGAAACCAACGGAGACCACAACGTTGGTTGGACTTTGCAGGGGAATCGAATCGTTCAAGGGTCTCTTAGGTGGGGCGAAATGGATTTCGCGACCATCCACAGCATGGACATTTGCCGTGGCTGCTCCCCGAAAGGGAATCAATCTTACATGCGGTCGCACAAGGAATATTTTCGCCAGTATACCCAGTGCCAGGTTTCACCGACTTTCTTCCAAGGTGGATTCCCATGTTGTTACCACTACCAAGGTTCACACCAAGGTTCATACCAAGGTTCATACCAAGGGTTCATTCATACCAAGGGTTCATACCAAGGGTTCATACCAAGGTCTAAAGGGTTCCACTCTTCGTGCAGGTTCCGAGGGCGAGCAGTGGATGGGCGTCACTGTGCCGCCGAGGCGAACCTTTGTTTTTTTTGTCGAATTCGGGATAGATAGATTCGATCCACAGACAACACGTTTTAGTGGTTTTTTCCCCCCGCGAGGGCAACGGCACCTTTTGGGATGATTTGGAAGGAAAAGCCACAACCTTGGAGGTGATCCCCCAAATGGCCTGCTCAGTCAATCCATCCTTCCCTTGGAGAAGGATTTGATCCTCTTTGTAGTCTTTCGTTTGCTTGAACGAACATGTTTGTTTTCCCTTGGGTTTTAAAGGGAACCACTGGACATGTGTCCTCAAGTGGGCGTAAAAGTAATTGGAAGTGGTTTCCCTTTCGGGACGAATTGGGATTGGCCAAGCCTCAAGTTTTGAGCAGTCCAGCTGGGTCCGTTTCCTTTTTTGGCAGGGGGTTTACTGTTAAAATCAGCTCCTGCGTGAATTTCTTGAAACCGTCTGCCTCTAGAACGAGCTCGCCGATTCGATAACTACCCCCGACTCCAAATACCCACATTTTTTTAGGGTATCATGTCGACCCTTTACTAAAAAAGGAGGTGTTTACCCTGAAAAACCAGGTTTCCCAAAAAAAGTACCCTAGAAAAAGTGAGTTTTTGGAGTAGGGGTTCAACTCCAAGTCCAAACCATCCCAAACCACAAGTGAATCACAATCAAACCCAGGAAAATGGAGGGTAAGAACCCAACCACTTTACTACCAGGTTTTACTACAACCGCCTGCCGAGAAAAAGCCAACGCGTGTTCACCTCATCACCTGACTCAATTGACCACGCGTAGACCAATTGGTTGAGAGCACGCAACCACTTTAATTGTTCAACCCACTTAAGAGACTTAGAACCATTGTAAGTGGGTTAGAACCAGGCTTACTAGCCATGGCACGTAAGCACCCTGCCCCCTGAAGTAGACCGGTCCCTTCAAACACCCGTCGGGTCTTGAGTCGTTTTTTTTTTTTTTGGTGTTTCCTTTGTTTGTTTGTTTGTTTCCTTCTTTGTTTCTTTGTTTTGTTTCTTCGTGTTTTTTTTCTTCTTCTTTTCCTTTGTTTTTTTGTTTATTCTTCTTGAGTCGTTTTTTCCTTCTTCTTTTTCCGCATTTCCGCCAGACTGGGTGCCCTTCCGCGAGTTTGCCTGCACAACGCGTTTCTGGACTGCAAGCCAACCGGCCACGGCAAGGCGCCGGAAGAAGGAAAAGGGCGGGGCGGTTTGGGCGGAAACGGGGCGGCTCCTCATGGTTGTCGTTGGGAAACATTTTACATTTTTGCTTATTGTGGTTTAGTGGGAAATCCCCACCCAACTGCTAAAATTTAAGATTTTTCCTCCTCTTCCAACGTCAACCAAGTCCTGGTCTCGCGACCATTTGCATGTGTTTTTGTTATTGTTATGTTCCCCTGTTTATTGTCCATGAATCTCTCACTGCTGGACATATCGTTTTTTTTTTTTTTTCAGGGGACTTAGGCAAATGGACATACAAGTTTGTGGGGCTCAATGACTAATCGCCTGGCACTGTACTCATGAGCTTATTAATATGCTGTGGATGGTTGTGAAGTCCTTCCAACACACCAGCGTTCAGAATAAATACCAACAAACAATGGTCTCAACCATGGTTTCAAACGGGTGCAGGATTTCGTCCGTCCACAGGATGGCTTTGCAGTACCCCACAACCCCATTGTAAGTATTTGGGCCCGGTAGGCATGTACAAGTCTGGACTCGTTCTGACCAATCCACTCAGGACGCGAGTGGTAAGCTGAAGTTAGTTATCAACACGTTGGGAAAACCAGCGTTTGTGTTTGTCTACCAAGCCATGCATAGCAGTTCTCCAAAAGATGAAGGGGCTCCGCAATTGTTTGAACAATTCTTCACTGTTGTTGCATGTGCTTGCAGTTTTGGTTCTGATCATCTTCGGTAGGGGCTGCAACAAGCAACGTTTTTTTGTTTACCATACCAAGGGTTGGAAAGAATCTCTGCAGTCAGAAATGAGGATGGCAGATTCCCTCGAAGCAAGAACGTTTGTGTGTTTTGAGGGGGGAACACCCCTTGACTCACCTCCTACGTTCTTGGACCTTAAACATGTTGGGAAGACCATGACCGTGGCAAACAGACAAATCGGACTTTTTTGGGGGCCATCTACTCAGGAAGTGAGTTGAACCTACCTAGTGCGACAAAACAAAAAGAAAAATACGGGGGGGGGGGGAACAGAAGGGAATACATTGAAACAAGGTTGAAGTTCCGGGAGTGCACCTTGGAGACAAACTGCATTTGGTTCCGGACGCAGCCTTGACGAAAATCCCCATGCGGGCCAATGCGGAAAGACCTGTGGTCAGTGCAGTTTGTGGGTGGAAGGGTACAGTAGAGTCGAGTCCCCTACCAAGTATGAGACCCAAACAAGAATATGACCACGAGATTGTCCCTGTTGTGGAATGTTTTGAAAGGGAAACACATGAAAGTCAAAGCTGATTGGGAGACGTTGTTTATGAATCCGGGGTCCATCATAGTACACAGCCCGACCATGGGAAGTTTTAGGGCTGGGAGAAGACAGGTGAAATCCTTCCAGCCCCGAAACCCTGGAAGGAACCCTCTGATTGAACCCTCCCCAAACTGGTGAGGCAGCAAAAGAACGGGCTATTTGGAGATCCAGGTATGTCAAGCTTCTATTTGCTTAAGAATACGTTTTTCCTTTTTCCTTGTTGGTTTTAAAAGGATTTTCTCACTTCTGGAACTATTTTTTTCCAGGGTCTTAAGCACATGGAAGCAAGGGGAGACAAAGGCCCGGAAAAAAAAAAAAAAAAGCGATCAACAAATCCGTCCGCGTCAGTTCGACGTGAATCTACGTCTGGAGCTGGAAGACCCCGCGGGGGCTCCTCAATGGGTCAAGACCTTCGTGTTCCAGCAGATGGCGATCAGGCGCCGGTGACTATGGGTGATTACCCTCCCTCCAACTAATATGGCAACTGACAGGGGCTCGTGCCATGTTAGAAGGGTACATGATTCTTGCCGAAGTGACCTGTGAACTAGTGGTAAGGCAAGCTTAAAAGGGTTTCTGTTTGGGGTCCAAGAAATATGGGGCTGGGTCTGTCTTTTTGTTTGTACCCCTTTTTGGTTGGCTTTAAAGGGAAACCAGAAGGAAGAGCACTTCTTTTTTTTGAGGGGCTCCCCCAAAGCATTTCTCAGGGACCCTGAAAATTGGTGAGCTGTTCCTTTTGTTCCCCTATTTTTGAAATCACAAGAAGAGTTCGTTGCCATTGAAGCGGACCTGCCTTGGTGCACATGTGATTTAGGGGTCTTACTGTGGATGGACGAAATCCATTTGGCATCACATAAGAAACCCTAGAATGATGATTCCCCTGAAAATACCAACACACAATGGTGTCCCATGGTTTTGAAGTGGGGGCGAAATGGATTTTGAGGCTCTTGAGGTACCCAAACTGAGGTTTGGGACTCAGTCCGTTCCGATCGGGGCTTATGCAGAACGGATCCGGTCCCCCTACACCCAGGGTCTTAGCACAGGTGAATTTTTTGGAGCCCAAAAAATCCACGCAGGACTCTTAGGGGTAGACTGTTTGGGTCTGGAAATGTGTTGTTGAAAAGTATATAGTTTGTCGACTTTTTCTGGCCAATCCACTCAGGAAGAAAGCGTGTGGAAGACTCGTCTTCTTCTCAAAAGAGCCTGTGCACAGCCAGGAAGGTAGTGTCCGACCCCGTTGACAAATTCTATCCTACGCTGCATGCTCCATCTTCACGCACACACAGGAAGTTGTCGAGCGTCTGAAACGATTTCGGGCTACGTGAAAGGACCCCTCGCCAGCTTTCTACTCAAAGTTGGTTTGGTTGTTTGAAAGTTTCCCTCTATCCAATCATGGAAGTGGACAGATTGCCCAAGAGGAAAGTAGTCTTAAGCCCTACGATCGTCATCTGGGAGAAAATTGCTTCCGAGTCAAGCTATGAAATGTCAGAGACCCCCTGTGTCTTTTCGGTGGGGTGTGTGTGTGTGTGTGTGTGCGCGGGCAAGGGACCTGCAAAAAGTCCGCGAATTCGGTTTGGTTCGAAGCCCGGGGTTGACGGGGAAAGGCCAGCCCATTCTGCCCAACCCCGGTTACATTGGCTCTCTCTGTACGCTTCTTGGGTCTGGACCATTTTAGTGGCAAGCAAAAGTTTTGAATTCTTCTTTGGCCGGTTGACTCAGGAAGTGAGTTGAGATATGATCCTCATCACGTTGATTTCGCAGCCAAACTCCTCCTCCACAGATGCTTGCAATCGCAATGCGATGGCAAGGGTGGAAAATCATGATGGACATTCAACTAGTTTGGTTTTCAAGGGGAGATGCTGACGTCATGTATGCTAGAAGATCCCCTCGGATGCCCCCACCCCAAATACCCACTTTTTCTAGGGCATTTTTTGGAAAACCGCTCGGTGTTTCAAGGTAAAATTACCATAATTACCTCCTTCTTTAGTAGAGGGCCGACAAATGCTACCCGAAAAAACTCGGCCGGGTATTTGGCGAGTCGGGGGTGTGTTGATTTTGTTTTTCTCTTCAGCTTCTGCTTGCTGAAGCTGGAGGGCTGAAAGTAAGTCAGATCGAGTCCTGCCCTCTCCTGGGCCCAGTATGTTGGGTCCCCCTCGGGTGGATTCACCGGGAGATTCCAAGAACGGACGATGAATGCACCCAATAGGCTTGAGCAAGGAGTTGAACCGACCTAGTGCGACGAAACCCAGAAAAAATACGGGGGGGGGGAAACAGAAGGGAATACATGGAAAACTCCGCTGCTTCAATGTGAAAGCCCGTTTTTTTTTGCACACCCTGCAGGTTTTGAGGGTTTGGCTGCTCTAGGTAGGGGTAGAACAAATCAACCCCTTGGGTTTTTCTGATGAATTGGAGTGGGCCCTGGACCCTTCGGTGGACATCAAAATTCGGCCCCAAAGCGAATCAACCTTTTGACCTTTTGGTTTCTTTTTTAGTGGCCCCAAAAGGTGATCACCTTGATTTTCCAGGTCCAAGTGCATGAATTAAAGCCGTTTTGACGGTATAATAGAGCTCTGCCCGATCTTGTCGTTCGGTGCGAGGCTGAAGGTCTTTAGTGCGGGCGAAGATGGTTTTGCCCCCACAAGCTTGGTTTGTGAGCTAAACCGTGCAATGATCATGCATTTGCATTTCAGACCTTCATTCTAGGTCTCGCATTTTAGATAGCTAAAATGCCTGCCCAGGAAGGTTTTTCAAGTCAGAAGTGAGAGCTTCATTTTAGACCCCTTTGACTTCCCCCGCTCGCAACTTGGGCCTTGACCTCACCTCACTCCGTCGAGCCGCCCCAGGCACCAACCAACAGCCGCCAACCAACAGCGAACTCAGCTATGCGAACTCGTTACGGCGCTGTGGGGTGTGGTGAGCCAAATTGAACGACCATTTGCTGAAATGGATAGTTCTATTTTTCCCTTGTTTGTTTCAAAGATAATCTATCAAACACGTTGTTTGATTTTCCTGCCTGATGTTAAAGGGAATCGATTTCACTACCGGAAAGATGTTCTGATTCTTGCCAGTGGGCCTAAGAGCACATGGAAAGTTTAGAGCCAGGATACGGACCGCGGCTCTCGTCCACAGCGCAACCCAATTGGCAATTGGTGAAAAACCATCTCCCAGAACCTAGAGTCTCCTTCTGACCCTTTAAACATGGTTGGTCATTACCGCCCTAAATAATTCGGTTACGGACCAATTTTTACTTCAGGTCAGAAGGAGACTCCAGGTACTTATTCGGGCCCGAGGCAGAGCTCGAGCAGACAGAAATGGGCTCTTCTTTTGAGGGTTAAAGAAAGCCAAAAGGACATTCCGAACATTTTGGGGGTCACCTATTTTGAGACACCCCAAATGGATCTTCCTTGTTCAAAGCTTTTGGTTCCCACGCGTCCAACTCTCCCTGGGTTGCGTTTTTGGGGTTTGTTGACCGATTCCTTTCCGCCGAAAGCCATAAAAATGGTAGGCGAGGCTGAAAACCTAGGTCCCTCAGTAGTGCCCTTTTACCCTTTGTCGGGGGAGGCTTCCCCTACTAAAATCGACTACTCACTTCCTGAGTTTATGAACTTTAGACTTTTTGGGAAGACCATTTTAGTGGTAAATCTGAAGTTTGGATGGGCCATCCACTCAGCAAGTGAGACTACTAGAAAAAAAACCGGTACCCTTATTCTAAGTCCTCTCAAATCTGGAGGACCTAGAAACAGCCGCAGCAGACCTATCCCGTGGCACCTCCTCTGGAACGCCAGGATTCTGCCCGATCTTTGCAAGTTCCAGGGCAAGATCCCAGGCTTGGGCTTTGGGGCAAATCCCACGCCTCGGGGCGGAGACGTGCAGAGCTCATTTCACCGGAAACACCGCAGAAATTTGGTTCCGCTTTGGGGTTTGGAGACCCAACAATTGGGTCGGACCGGGGGGTGGTCTGGTACCTTTCCGTACAGAGGGGGGGGGGGGGTATCCTCCACCTCTGAAAGCCCAAGGCTCCTTGCAACTTGGTCTTTGGGGGCGGAGACGTGCAAAACAAGACTTGAGGCTTTTGGACACAACTTTGCGAATTTTGTCAAGGGATGTTAGGACCCTACAACTTTTTGCCAACTCATGGGTTTTCCGAATTAAAGCACTAAAAGTTAGTCACTTTTAGCAGGGGTGCAGAAAGCAACCGAGACAACACATCCGCAACCGTCCATGAAACCTACCAAAAGCTGATCGCCCTGTTGCATCCGTCGTGCAAACCCGGCCTGGCAGCTGGCATCTCAATGGGTTGGTTGCCATGGGGGTTGATCGATCTACGGAAGGTCCCTCAGGAGTTTTGACCATGCGTAACCTTTCCCATGTGGCGGACACGATCGGGTACGTCAGGAAAGTGGTGAGTAACCATGTTTATAAGCCACCGAACGGAGCTTATAACCATACCTAGGGGAACACCATCAGCCCGCCGAACCTCGAACATTCCTCCCTGGCCCACCCTGATTTGTCTAAGATCCCATGCGTAGGGCTTCCAAAACCTGTAAAATCGTACCCTGACTAGAGCATCCTGGCGTTTATCGATTTTCTGAACACATGGTGTTTTTGAGGAGGCTCCTGGTAGTTGCAGTCGCTGAGTCGCGATGCTGCAACAGCCGAGTTTTCTGCGCACTGCTTGAGGCTCGGCGCTGGATCACTTCCTCAACAACAAGAACTGCAGCCCGGAGGTGGCTGCAGGAGTGCAATACATCAAAGACCTGCGCCCCGCTCGAACGCTTCGGACTTTGGTTAATTACTTAAAAGGGGCGATCGGGTACTTAGTGGTTAGCAATGCTGAGAACCCATGGTTACTAACCACGTATTAAGTACCCTGCCCCTTTAAGTAGGGTTGCTGAAGGAATGTGACGCTTGGTGCGAGAAGTAGGGAATGTGGGAATGAACCCAGGGATCCCCTGAAAGGAAACCGCAAGGGATGGTTTGTAAGGGTCATGCCCTCGATCCCTGCCGAGCACCAGCAAGTCAAACTCTGGGTGTTTCAAAGAACGGCTGTTTTGGCTTTTGGAAGCAGGGTTGGGCAGAATGAGTCCTTGCCAGGGCAACCCATTTTGGGGTTTTCCCCATGTTTGACCCACGCGCAGATGCTTATTGGGCGTTCAATTTTGGAGTGCGAGGGCTCGGGAGCTCGATAGTTGCCGGTTGATCAAAAGTGTGGGTGTCACAAGTCCCCGTTTCTTTATGCGCACGAAGGAAGCAGCTTAGAGTGGACCTTTCAACGCTACCATTCCTGGCCACTAAACCGGCTGGTTTGATGTCTCTTTGGCGGTCTGGGCCATAAAAGTAAGCAATTGAACTCAAACTGGACATCTTCTATTGGTTAACCAGGAGTTTTCGTTCTTGGTTTGCCACCCCGAAGCAGTGGAATCTCGTTTGAACTGATTCACCAAACATGGACCCGATCTAAACATACTGTGGATGGACACCTCGCTGCAACAGCTGTTTGGTGAACTATCCTGCGTAGTTTGCGAGGGAAACTGGGAAAACACCATGAATGATGTTTCCTTGTTTGGCCATGTTAGGAAGTTGTTGGTAACCGATTGGTTATAACCCACTTAGTCCCCGTTCAACGGGGTTATGAAGAACTCCAAATGGCGACCAACCACCACTTGCAAACCTGGCGAATCGAACATCCGAGTAAGGACCCCCAACTTATATAGGGCTTTGTCTTTTTTCGGGGAACCCCATGGCTGGTTTTATAGAACTTTTTCTATCCAAGGTAGTTGCTTGCTGGTGCTCAGTAGGGAATGAGGGAATTTTCATCCGGGGGTCCCCTCCAAGGAAACCACCAGTTGGAGGGTTTATAGGGGAATGCTTAGATGGTCTGGGAGGAATCGCTAAATGGCGAGATCCCTGGTTGAAACCCACTTACAATGGCTGTAAGCCCCCTGAAACCCTCCAAGACCATCTAAATTTTGCAATTTGTGCGAGTGGTTTTGTCAAGACCTCTCCACCAGTTGGATGGTTTACAGGGGAATGATGCTGAGCCCCAGCACGTTTCGTCCTTCCCAGCCGCTTGCTGAGGGGCGCCTCCCTGGATGCGTACAACGCACCGGCGGAGGCTCGGCGGCTTCCCGATCCGAAGGATGCGAAGTGCAGCCTCTGAGGCTGGAAAGTCTCCAGATGGGGAAGCAACAACTTTCTGAAGCAAGTGGATTTGACAAGTTAGGCTCCATAGGTGTCCTTTTTGGTTGTGCTTTTGGGTGATTCCTGGTTTACCTGTTGGTTCAATCAGTATATCAGGGAAATCCATCTATTGTGCAAAAAGGACACCTATGTTAGGGTCACTGATTCATAGCCAGACGGAACTCGCGCTGTGTTGGGATCGGCTCCTCTCTGAGCCAATTAGTCGGTGCATGACATGTGTTCCTCATTTAACAGAGCTTCTTTTGCCCTTCTTCAACTCGGTCTAGGTCCCCCAGTAGTGCTCTTTTACCGTTTCTTTTTTGGTTGGGAGGGTTGCCCTACTAAAAAAAACTACAGAAGGAACAAACAAGAAGAATTTAAAGATGAGAAAAACGGGTACCCTTCTTCTAACCTCTCAAATCTGGAAAAAAGAAACGGTACCCTTCTTCTAACCTCTCTGGAGGACCCAGCGGTGCTTCCCAGCCACCCATGGGATACTTGGCTTAGTCGGTTGAGTGGTGGTTTCCATTTGGCTGTGGGTCAAAACTAAACCGCCAGGAATTGGACCACAGGTCTTAGTCCTTGTTTCCATAGGGTGCCATGTTGGGGTTATACCTTATTTTCGACCCACAGCCATTGAAGCCACAAGTTGACACTTTTAGCAGATCAGTTTGGCCAGCCCAGTTAAGGATCCCACGGAGGGGGCAGGGAGACCATTTGCTGAAGCGAAGACGTGACGAGCCGATTCCAAGAAGGAACTGCAATACATCATGGGCCGCTGTGCCGAAACCGCTTGGCGAATGCTAGTGTATCCTTGCCTGAGGCATAGACATCAATCAACCCATCTTTGGATTGAATGTGCCGGAGTCTGGTCCATACTGTGGATGGACGCAATCCTGCACCACTTCGAAACTATGGTTGAAACCATTGTTTGTTGGTATTTACAGGGGAATCGAACATCTTTCCAGGGTTTTTGAACGGTCCTGAATCTTCGTTTGCGCACTTTTTCTGCTCAAATGCTTGTTTGCGCGTTTTGTGGTGTTTTTGCGCGCTTTTTTGGAATTTGCGCACTTTTGAGAGATTTGCGCACTTTTCGGATGAAACTCCTCTGGTAGCCAACTTCGGCACTGCTTGTGTAAACAACCGATACCGCGCTGCTCGTGCCCGTGCCGGCGCAGCTGTTTGTTGAAGTCCTTGATGATGTTTACAGCATATCTAGCTCTTCTTTGTCTCCACCCAAGCCTGTTTTACGCAGGAAATTTGTGGCACACCCGGCACAAGTACCAGCTATATATCACTTGCACTTGACACTTTGAGGCCATTGATTTAGCAACCCGCTTGGCTCCGTCAAGAGCTCCCAGCCCGCAAGTATTGCCTGGGTTTGCACGGATCCGCTGTTTGCTCCAGAACTGTGCTTGCGCCACATTTTTGTTGAGACAAGTCGCTGATAGGTGAAATTAGCCGATTTTCGGCGCCTTGCCAGCCCGCAATTTGCGCGCAAAAATCCGGTACTATCGCGCAAATATCCGCAATTGCGCGCAAATTCAAAAAGTGTGCGCATGTATGCGTGCGTTTTTGACCTTTTAATTAGGCAGCAGATGTCTAAAGCGCCCGAATTGCCAACCAACAGATCGGTTTTGAGCCACATGTGGTCGTCGCTTGAAGCTGCGCCACTTGCAAGAGCCGTTCGAATTTCTTGCAATTTCAAGGAGTTGAAACTTGTTTCACTTGACTGTCAAGCTGGCTTGGCAATGTTGAAGGCTATTCCCGACAACTGCTCCGTTGGTAAATAGCCAAAATGCACTCTGGTTCTTTGGATCATCTAAGTTCTGGCCGATTAGGCGCATGTATCCTTGCCTATAGTTGTTTTTGAACAGCTTGACAGGTTCATGTCCAGGCTATACACACCCCGCACCTTTTTCAAACCAGCCAAAAACGCCTCGTGCAGTTCTTGGAACTTTGCGCGTTTTTTGATTGAAACGCGCACTTTTCCGTTGTGCGCACTTTTTTTTGCTCAAATGAAGATGCAGGGTGGGGCGAAATGGATTTCGCAACCATCCACCGAACTTTTGGGTACGTAATGGGTATTGAGTCCAAACATATTTGTACAAATCTGGGCCATGGGCATTCATCATGCGGAATGCTTGGCTTGCTCGCGCGGCAGGCAAGCCCAAGAGGCTCGATGAAGTCTTTAGCAGCCCTTTGTGCAATTCCTTCACAGCTCATTGCCGGAGTTTCTGGACTTGAGTCACTTTTTGGGTGTGGACCATGTGGCAAACAAGAAGCTTGGACTTGTTTGGACCACCTCAGGAAGTGAGGGTTTGTTTGGGTGCATATGTGTCCTTTTTGGTTGTTTTGGTCGAAAAATAGATGGCGATTCCTGGTTTACCTGTGGTTTAAGCATCTACCAGGGAAATTCACCTATTTACCCTAAAACGACACCCCTACCCCCCTACCCCCTCCCCCTACCCTACCCCTACCCCTACCCCCCCCCCCTCCCACCCCCTACCCCCGAAAAGGACACCTATGTTTGGGTGTGGCTCAAAGCCCAGCAGAGGCAAACCGCAGGTTTCAGTCTTAGCTTCCGAAAACCAAGGGCGGCATGGGATACCGGTTTTTGAGCCACCGCCATCCCTGGCAGTGCCAATGGACCCTTTCAACAAGGTGAGCAAACATACTTTTTCATGATCTTCCTTCAGATGGAACCACGTCCTTTCAGGGCTGGGTGATCATGCGATTTGACGCAACGTTTTCGTACTGAGATGTGATTTGCGAGGCAAGAGTCCTCGAAGCAGCCAATCGCAAGCGCACCAAATCTTTTTAGATCGCCGCTGGTTCAAATGGGGAAAAGACGGTCCGATTGCGTGACCGAATTCAACCCAGGTGTATGAATGCAAGCCGCGCGTGAACTTGACATTTAGCGAAACAGTACAACTTCTGCATTGTTCAAGCTGCATTTCGCTGTTGCGCCTTTTCAATGGTTAGCAACGCAGCTGCACGTTGTTAGACCAGTGTTCCTGGGGTGCCTTTTATTTTGAGCGCATGTTTAAACTCCAAATGCCACCGGCAACCTGATTGCTGAGCCGTCAAGGGATATGCGGGCATTCTACACGCTTTGGGTGCTTGTTCGTGTCATGCTCACGAATCGCTATGTCCTGCTGCCATCTATTCACCAGGAGAAATGCTCTTTGGCAAGATCTTGTGAAGATGCAGATACAATTCTTGAACAGTTCAGTGACCTGTTGAGGGGCTTCTCCTGGTAGATGCGCTTGGACCACGCAGTGTGCTGTCTTGTGCTCGCGTGCGACTGTACCCTTTGAGCAGCATTATGCTGCTGCTTTGGCCCTCAAAGCCTGCAGTCGGTTGAAGCCTCAACTGCAAAACGAGAACCATCATTGGATCAGAGAGTTTCCATAGTTTGTGCTTGGCCATAATTATGCAAAAAAAACACATCATTTCATCACCGAGTTTGTAGGTGAATGTTTGGACAAACCGCAGCCTATATTTAAGTTCCAAGCTTCGGGTGGAACGGTGTCCAAGGGTTTACTTGCTTGATCCCTCTCGACTCTCTTCCAGTCATGCTTCGCTGAGGAAGCTGCATGTTCTACAGAGAACTCTGGTTCTTTGTGGTTTCAGGGGTTATCAGAAGGAACTGAAGGATCAAACATTGCAGATGTAGGCCCAAATAGTGTCCCCGGGGCAACGTCAACTTGCTTGGTTGGGCTCGTCCCGGTCCAGCTGAAGGAATGATGGATTGATGAGTCCCTGCCAAATGTCATGGACCTTCCAGGGGCAGGGCTGAGCCAAAGCCCCTGGAACACCCCGAGCGCTGTTTCTTGAGCTGGCCAGGGGCTCTTCATGGCCTTTGTGAGCCATGAAGGATTTCCTTGTTGCGGGGTTGCGTCGTTGTGTTTGTACCTCGAGTCTGCATGACCCTTGGAAAATGGTTGGTCATCGCCCTAAATATTGGGGTCATGGACCTATTTTAAAAGGGTCATGGAGACTCTAGGTAGTTTGCTCTTTGCCTTCCCGGCTTTTAACCTTTTTCTCAGCTGCTGGTCTATTCGGGACTTCCATGCGTTGAACACACCTCGAAAGGATTGACTCGAAAAGGCAAGCGCCGTGCAAACGACGGGCTTGGTTGGAACTTACAACTGCCACGGTGAATGCCCTAGATTTATCAGTGAACCAGCCACATCCAACCACAGAAGCCTGATTAATGAAGTAATTTACAGTGCTTCCCTGGTTTCCCTACTTGCTTCCTGTTTAGTTGGCATCCACCCTACAGTTCTTTCACTGGAGTGTATCGTGTATTCTCAGCATTTGTTCTTGGGACTTGGAGCATTTCCCCTTCACCGTGATACGGGGCATGTAGTGTTACAGTGGATACCCCATGTATGTTGCAAGTGGAGGAAAAAGGGACACGCTACAATTGAGTAGTTTCTCAAGAGATTGGGTTGTGGCGTGTTCATTGATTCCTGTTCAAAATGTAGGGGCATTCACTCCAGCCAAGTTCCTTGCTTTGGGAATTGGGATACATGTGGGGGTCAGGTCCTTGATGACGTTTGTGGATCCGGACAACACACCAGTCAGGCCGGACTTGTAAGTGAAGAACCAGTGGGCAAGCAGTGGTAGACACCAGGGTTGCTACAAGGGCCAGTGCAAGCCTTGCGTCTCCGACTCGATTCGTGGCTTCACGACTTGGCTGGGCCCTCCGCGCTCCAAGATGTTTCATGTGCGTTGGGTCTGCCAACTCCCCTCCGTTTTGAAAGCGCCTCGCTTGGAGTTCGGCGGCGAGCCGCGCTGCAAGCATCCCCCTCTGTCGGCGGCTCGACTCATCTCTCTCGCGCGGGGAGCTCGATCTGACGATCAGATCGGCACGGACCAGATGCAAGCGGAGATTCAGATGGTTCCTTGGTAATTACCTTCTAAGGAGGTACTGAACGACCCCTTTTCACTCCCAAAAGCCATCCTCACGAA